GCATTATGTCAATCACTTCAAGAAATAATTACAAATTATTATTATGTTGATAGCAGGAACCATAGTCTATTTAAGCATTTCAGTGATATATATACAGAATAACAAACTTTATATTTGAAGAAGCAACTGTGATTTATTTTTCTAAATAATCAGCAAGAAAAGGAGAAATATTAAAATTAGACAAAGTAGATTTTATGATCTGTTATTGTTTCCTTAAAAATTTCAGGATTATGTGTTTAGAAATGTACTTTGCTTCCTTAGACAATTTTAATTTTATTACTGATAATTGTCGATCTAGTAAATACAGCAGAAGTATAAAAATTAAGACTACAGGACTCTTGAAAGTCATTGCTAACAGTGGAAAAACTGTCAGTTCTCAGTGTGGATTACTAAATGTTAAGATTAGTAAAATGAAGATTAGGAAAATTCTCTGGAGTTATTAATATGCCTGTAATAGTTTTCCACTAGATACCCTGGGAAATGTTTATATTCAGAGCCAGAACTACACAGATGGAACATCATCAATATTAAGACATATTGCCAAGCTTAAGGTATTTTTTTCTGAACTACCTACTCTCCAGATTCTTTATTAAAAAACCCACAAAAAATAAAAATAAAACAAAAATAAAACAGACCAACAAAACAAAGCAAAAACCCAGGTTTATTTCCCCCACAAACTCCAACACCCTAGTATTAAACAGAGCACAGAGGGTGGCAAAGCTGATAGTACATGAAATAAATACACCACTCCAACACTGACATAGCTGAAAAAGGCATTATTTTTCATCAAGGAAAATATGAGCTTTTTGTTGTTACTGTAAATTATTTATTTATATTTCTTATATTTCCCAAATTCTACTTTATGCATCCTGTGAGCAAACAATTAAATTGTACAATTTGTTTTTCTTGCAGAGCATTTAAAACTTCTTTTTCATAAATGAAAATAAAATTAAAAAAAAATTAAACCCATCCTCCACTATTAATCATATTAAAATCCCTTCTACAATTAATTGGCATAAACTTCTGTATGGGTAAATGAGTGACATTATCTAGCATTCTTGTAACTTTGTTAAAATTTTACACAAATTTACTTACATATAATAATTTTATACAAAATTATTTTTGCATCTTAGCTTGAAAATCTAAATCTTAATCTTCTGACAGTTGGATTTGTCAGATAAAATACAATTGTCAGAACTTTCTCAATCTTTTGACACTTGGACTCATGCAGTATCTATGCATTGGCTGTATGAACTACTAGCTGTTTAACTTAACAAAATAACAAGTTTGGAAAAAAAAAACCCAATGTGCAATGTGAGATATATTAAGAAATAGGTCTCACATTTATTTTACTACTTATTGGAGAGTCACTATTCTAAGTTTGCTACTACAAGCTTGAACCCACCAACCACTTCTTGTGCCAGTTACTGGCAAAAAATAATGGGTATCTTAATTCAAACTGTTGGTGCATACCACAGCCCAAAAGAGATCTGAGACACTGAGGAAGAATCTGAGCTACCTTGAGAAATTATAGAAAGAGTAAATCACTTCTGGAGTTGTGAAGGATATTAAAAATGCCTGGAAGAAAAGCTTCCCTTTGCATAGGCTTTGAGAAAACAGAATAGTCTACTGAAGTCTTAGCTGCCATCAAAATGACTTGTTTTCTGCTTTGGTAACATAAAAAATTATATTTGATAATATAATCCTTTCAAAACCTTTGAATAGATACAAAGATTTAGAAAGAACAGAAACATCTGCTAGAGGATTAATGGCGATAACTGAAACTTCTCATGACTCCTCCAGTCTTTCTAAAAGAGTACTTTGGCTGTCACAAAGACTGAGCTAGACACTTCTATAAACATGCTGTCCTCACTTAAAATCTGAGCAGGAATAAGGCAAAGAAGAACAACCCTACGATGTTTACCAGGACAACACAATCTGTCAACTGCAGATCACTTCTGCAAAGGCGGCTGTTGTCACCTGTCTGAAAACACATCATTGCTGCTCTTGTATTTCCAGAAGAGGGATCAGCTTGAAGTAGCCACACTAATGGGATTCTGCAACTTTAGTTTCCTCCCAGTATAAAATAGGCCTCGTGGTCTTCAAACATCCCACACTGACAGGAATGGTGGCTAACATGCTTTGCAATAACAGAACAGACCCATGATTTTTGAAACAGCTTATACAAAAGACTTATTCTCAAACAGAGACTTCAGTATTATCCATCATTCTCTTTAGATGGGATGCAAAGGAAGATACATGACACATTGCCTGTGGAACCACAAGTTCCCCAGGAAAAACACTGAAACGAGAAATCTGTACCCTCCTACTCATACTCACTTCCAAATCTGGTATTTTTCACTTTATAAAATATGGACCCACATTACCCATACCTGCGCAATATCACATATGCAAATAAACGCATTTGCTTCCTACAGAGCAGCATCTACTGCTAAAAACTTATCAAAGGGCCCCAAGTGAAGAGCTCTGTTTTACACAGTCATTTGCTAATTACACTTCGATATACTAATAATCCAGAACAAAACTGCTGGTTTTGAAGGGGGAGCGATGGTCAGAGAAAGGATGAACCATAATAAGAACAGTGAGACTGCAGAAGACCAATTTGATAATCAGAATATGTGGCTTGCAAAACACTTCCATTCTGCCATCTCTCTTACAGAAGGCAGAAGATGATCAGAAACTCAACCCTAGCTGCCTGCAGGTTTTTTCAAGAAATGGTAGAGGAACTCAGAAAAGGTAAGACGTGAAGCATTGTCTTCTCTCCCAAGCCAGGGAGATTTCCTCACATCTACTATTTCTTGATTGAGTCTCTGCTCTTGAATGAGTCTCTCCACTTTGAAAATTAATACAGGAGGTCTACACTGTGGCGTGTCTGTCCTACAATTTTGCAAATTCATCTTAATATACTAAAGTACATTAATGTACTGAGTGAACTTTGATTTTGTTTCTGAAAAGGAGAAAGGAAAAAAGGAGGCAAACAGTATCTAACATTAACTGATATTCTCTGAACTTTCCTCAGATACAAAAAATGCAAACTACACAATGTAAAACTTCTGAAGAAGGCTACAGAGAAGTCAGAAATTCCACACAGAACACCGCAAAAACTTGATTTTTTAGTTCTTCCCTTGTCTTAGACTAATATGAAACCATAGAAAATTTATAAAATGTTGCAGAGGAAAATCATATTTTTTGAGGTTTCTTTTTTTGGTTTTTTTTGTTTATACAACAGAGATGTGAGGTTTCTCTTACAATGGCCTTCTAAAAACTAAAGCCATATCTATAGAGAAACTGCTTCTTCATCACATCCAAAACTTCTGTAAATGTTCAGTGTTAGATCAGAACTTAAGCTAATCTGGCAAGGAAAAAAATTCACTATGATATTTACGTCAATATTTTTAAAATTGAGGCAGATCATTACTTAATTAGCATTCCAGTAATACTGTGTTTGAGAGGAGAGACTGGTGATCCATGAGACATTCACTCCTGGGAAAGTTCATTTCAAAATAGTTATAAACTGAATGTTATGTTCTTGAGGTCTTTTCCTACAGCAATATATATTTATCATATGATTGCGAGTTTTCATTAATACAAATGTTAAAAAAATTTATTGCCCCTCTTTTTTTTTTGGAATTCCCTTTCTACAAAGTCCACTTACATTTATTAGTTTTTGCAAAGCTGAACAGGTATGAAAGAGCAGTAATAAAAAAAAGAAAGGAGGCACAGCACGTAATAAACCAGAACTAATTCAATGAATAACTTTAACACTGGACAATCTTAGCAGGAAAGATTGTCATGAAAGGCAAACAAACATCTATCTTATTTTTCCTTTTCATATATGTATTTGTGCTATTATAAATTTATCACATAAAGGACAAAGAAAATGAAAAAAATCAGGAAGTGACTGTTTATTAAAGGAATGCAGTCAAACAAATTTCTAAATCAGAATGCAGTAAAAAAATTTGTCTAAACCAATTATTTCTCAGTAGATAACAAGGGAGAAGCAGATAATTAATATTTAATTTACTGCGTTATTTCATTAGATGCAAGGTCTCAAAGCCTTCCACTTCCAGGCTTCCTCTCCTAATAACTCATCTCTCCTAAATTTATAAAACATTAGAAGCTTAATTTTTTTTTTCAGAAATTATTCAAGATATAAAACTGAGTGTGTTTGGGAACAGCCTAGCATCTATAATTTTATTTTTTAGTTAATATACTTTGCTCCAGCATTTACATTTGCTATTTTGAACTCTGTTTCTTAGAAAGACTCCAGGTTGATTTGAAACTAAGGTCAGCCTTTCAACCTTTTCTTTATAACAGCACCAATGTTAATTAATAAATAAATTAGAGATATTTTCCTCAAAAATAGGCTGCTTTAAAAATCGGAATCTCATTGCTTCAGCGTTCATTTAGGTAAATTGTGGGTATCACCTTGGCATTTAATTAGTCACTTGGGAAAAAAACCAAACAAAACAAATCACCAAATACTGTCATGTGGGCATATATTTGTACTGCATAAGTTATTGCTTAATTATCTTAATTTCAGAAGTAGTATTAATTTACTTCACCTGCTGAAATGTGTTAGCCTCTCTGTAAATGTAATATCAAATCTAAAAACATTTTTTCATTTTCCTTTTATGTCCATTATCTTTGTTTTCCATCCTCAAATTGATGTCCTTAAAAGTGTCTTTGCACTCTCTCGTACCCCAAAATTAATTTGACAAACACTCAAAAGAATAAGAAATAAATATTTCAATTTTTACTCTAATAGAATATTTGTCCTTTAAGGTATTTCCTGCCTGGAGCATGTACTGTGCTTTTCTCAGCTTAATTCAATTCATTTTTCGTGTCTAACCATGGGAAGAATGTCTTTCCTTGTTTTTCATTATTCACAAAATATTTCCAATCTATTGTACATGCGTGTTGAGTCAAGTGTTCACCTCTAGCTGCTTTGAAAAACATTAGTGTGAAAACACACTCACCTTCAGGCTCCCCACAGAGTGTACACTGTGACTCTGCAAAAAAAAAAAGAAAATTATAATTTCTTTATTTTAAGATGTCACAATTATATCCAAATATAACAAAACTCAGAGAACTCAAAGTTAGCATGAAAAATGCAATTCTATTTTCAGCACACATTTCTTAACGGTTGCAAAATAATCTTCAAAAAAGAGCTTCTGCAGGAAGAATTTTAAAACAGAACTATATAAAGGTTTAGTTACATTTATATAATTATCACCTCCAGAAACTGCAGCTGAATGCCTTCATGTATCAGGACGTTTTGCTTCCACATGACTTTTTTGTATTTTCATATATACCATACTGCAATGACAACAGTCACTCGAATAAAAGTTTAAGCCTCCTAATATTTTATGTTTGGAGGTAGCAAACAGTAATAGTGACAGAGTTGTTATATTCCCTTCCCATAAAAGAATTCCAAGTCCTCCCAGGCAAGAAAAGTCAAACAGTCATGTAAATATGCAGTTATACTCTGCAAAATATTCAAGTATAGAAATGAAGGAAATAAAATTCCATCATAACAAACAGACAATCTCTAAATGTGCAATTACTATTTTATCCACACACTACTGTTTGGAGATGGCTGTCTTAAAAATTATTTTGCATAATGTACAAATATATATACACATGGAGGAAATATTTTGAAGTATCCCTTAAAACCAAGCTGCTTCAGGAGTTAGTATCAAGCTGTAGAAGAAAGCTCTTGTTTAGAATCCAAATACCCGAATCAATTGAAATCACAGGGAAGGTAATCATGTTGGCAGATAATTCTGATACACTTGTAAAAGTCCTACTAGAACAAGAAAGCACAGTATATTTTAAATCACAGATCTCTGAAATCTCCATTTTAACACTCAGCTGAAAAATGACATCTCTAACAGCTGAAGCAAATATATATATATATATATATATATGCAGGCTCACACACACACATGTGCATGTATATAATTTTATATACAATTACTACAGAAACCCGTTTAACACGCCTGGTATATAAAAATCCAATACAAAAGCTTTTTGAAATTATCTCCATCTTGAATAACTAATAGAAGATTGGACTTTAGCTGTGATCTTGACTCAAAGGCAAAAAAAACCAGAAAAATAGAATATGAAACACATGCACTGAACAGATTGACCTTTATAGCGCTGCTGTGACACTGACAGTTATTTAGAAGTACTTTCTCCATACAGATAAGAAGCTGTCTCATAGCAGCCCACTGTTGTAATGGCACTTGACCCTACATCTTTCATTTATTTTAAACATGTTAATCATTGTGGTTTTACTACTGCTAGAGGCTGTAGCGTGCATGAGGGAAAAGAATGAGAAAAAATAAGCTTATCCAGGCAGCTCTGCTGCTGATAGGTGGATCACAACTCCTAGAACAGCATAAAGTTGTATGATTGAGAGGAATTAAATTCGATGCAGTGCAGCACCATGAAACTTGTAGCTGAACAGTGTATTGATAACGACTCACTAATGCTCCAGCAAATCTGATAAACTGAAAACAACACCCTAACATCAGACATGAGAAAACCTCCAATGAAAAGTACAAAAAGCCTGGTCTCTGGTAACTCAGGCCAGCTTCTTTTACTGCTGAAAAAATGCACTTGCCACAAGCCGGTGATGCAGAGGAAGCAACTCAGAAGATCTTATTTTCACTTTTAATTCAAAGACTTTCTGATGTTTTACTGAGATGGGCTGCCTGCCTGCCTGTGTGAAGTTTATTATCCTGATTGATAAGGAAGAACAAGCCAAGACTTGGTTTCTGAACTTCTGACTTTTTTCTGATCGTCTGTGTTCTGCTAACAACTGCTTCACTGGTTTGTTACAATCCAAAGAGTCTGCCTGACATTTTTTGCAGCTCAAAATACCATCTTCCAAAAGTCCCCACTCAAGAGTACAAATTACTAGCTGCTCTCTTTTTTGTCATAAACATGAATTAGTGCCAATATTGCAAGTCTGCAGCAGGCTAGATAGTCTACCCAAAAAATAAGGGCTTGCAGCTACGACTGGTGCCAGAAAGTTGTACAAAAGCTAGAGAAGTGTCAGCACTATCTCTGCCAGACCACTGCTTTGTTGGAATTCTTTCAGATGTTTCTTTAAGGTCCCATCTCTTTGGGTCCCAGATGTTTCTTCCCCTATCTCAGGATACCTGGGGAGAGTTCATGGGGGAGGGTTGTTTTAATTCATCAGTGTATGCCTTACAGAGGCTGAGAATCATTTCAAACCGACAGCAGCACCTCTCTTTCTACACTGGTAAGCAGATTTTATGGATGTGGATGATTCACCAGTAAGCCTCTGTTTAAGGATTTCCCCACTGTAGTTTGCCACTGTGGGGGAGGACAAGATACCCTTTTTGTTGAGCTTGACACATACAGATTGAGTGACAAACAAAAACACAACCGCTGCTACTAGGCATGTGAACAACATGACAAGGAGGTTGTACAGAGCTCTGATTTCCACAAAGCCTCCGTGTGTGAGAGAGAAATAATTTTTTCTCTATATAGTCTCTTTAGATCCGTATGTTCTGTGGTTATTGCTAAGAGATTGCATGCCCTAAGTTTCCAAAACTAAAATCACATAAAACATACACATGGCACTCAATTATTTGTACATTTACATTATACAGAAATACATAAATCTTAAAATTCTGTAAAGAAGCTATGACTTGACACTCATTTTAACTTCTTTTCTCTGTAATGAAGTTGCTGCATCTTATTAGAAAAGGTCTTTCTGCAAAGCAGCTCAATACTAAGCACCTGTACTAATTTAAAAGTTTTCTATTTAAATTTCATTTCTGGGGAGAAATGATAGCAATGAAGGACATGACAGCGGTATAAAAAGTTACCACTCCATCCAGTGAAATTACATTTTTTAGGCTTAGATGCATCTCACTCAAGATTGAGTGTCTCAGTATCAGTGTTCAAAATCTAAAGTAGTCTTAAAAAATTTACCAATTAGCAGAAAGAAACAGGTACCTAATCTGCCTTAGAAACATATGTAGCATGAGATAAATCAATAAATCACTTTTTTTTTAAGAACACATTCATTTTTTTATGTGGTAAGAGGTCTGAGACTGCATCTTCATAATAACATTCACTGCAAAAGAGAAATGTTCATTGTAGGTGACCTCTAGCTCAGCCTCCCACTGAGAGCAAAGCAGGGCTGTTGCCAACAAAAGTTCAGTTCAGCTGTGGATTAATAGTCAAGTCCTGAAAGCCACCAAGGATGGAGATTTCACAACCTCAACAAGCAGCCTGCTCCAGTGCTGCATCAGCCTTATTGGACCCTACTTGAACATCTCAGGCTGCAGTTTGTGGCCATTCTTCCTTGTTACATCACTCAGCACTGCCAAAATGACTCTAGCTCCATCCTGTCTGCAACTCTCCTTCAAATAGCTGTAACCCACTATGGATCTTCACCCTAACAGACTAAATAAGCCCAGCTCTTTCAACTACTCTGACCAGAGGGCCCTCTGCTAGACTCACTCCAGTTTCTCCCTGTGCTTGCGGAAGCAGGGAGCCACAGCCACTGAACACAGTATAACAGGTGCAGCCCCACCAGCACCAGAAAGAAACAATAAACCTCCTCACCTTGCCCATCCTACTCATCCTGGCATAGCCCAACATGGACTTTACCTGTTTGCAATGAAGACATTGCCTCATATGCCTCACATTCACTCATATGCAACTTGGTATTCATATTTGTTTAGAAAAAAAAATAAATTAATAAATTAAGTCTTAGCAAGATCAGTCCCCTGATCCAAGTCTCCCACCAATTATAGCAGTGCTATATGTGAAATCTCAGCCTCAGACAAGTGACTTTTCTACATCTGTGCTGGATTAAATGTCAAAAGTAAAAGTGCTTAAGATACTACATGTTGTGATGGAATAGGAGCACAGAAATGACCACATTTCAAAGATATTTCACAGAATATGCTGAGTTGGAAGGGACCCACAAGGATCATACAGTTCAGCTGCTGGCCCTGCACAGGCCCATCCCCAAGAGTCACACCATGTTCCTGAGAGTCTTGTCCAAACACTTCTTAACCTCTGTGAGGCTTGGTGCTGTGACCACTTCCCCGAGGAGCCTGTTCCAGCAGCCAACCAACTCTGGGTGAAGAACCTTTTTCCGATATCCAACCTAAACTTCCCCGGACACAATTTTAGGCCATTCCCTTGGGTCCTGTTATTGGTCAGCACAGAGAAAAGTGGCTGCCCCTCCTCCTCCCCTCATGAGGAAGTTGTAGAGTGTGATAAAGTCTACCCTCAGTCTCCTCCAGGCTGAACAGACCAAGTGACCTCAGCTGCTCTTCATACAGCTTCTCCTCAGGGCCCTTCACCAAGGGCCCTTCGTTGCCCTCCTTTGGACACTCTCTAAGAGCTTAATATATTTCTTATATTGTGGTGCCTAAAACTGCACACAATATTCAAGGTGAGGCCACCACAGTGCAGAGCAGAGAGGGACAATCCCCTCCCTTGACCAGTTGGTGATGCTTTGCCTGATGCCCCCAGGACAGGGTTGTCCCTCCTGGCTGCCAGGGCACTGCTGACTCATATTCAACTTGCCCATTGATCAGGACCCCCAGGTCCCTTTTCCTGGTACTGCTTTCCAGCATCTCATTTCCCATTCTGTATGAACATTCAGGGTTGTCCCATCCCAGGTGCAGAATCTGCCACTTTTCCTTGTCAAATTTCATATGGTTGGTGATTGCCCAGTCCTCTAATTTGTGGAGGTCTCTCTGCAGGGCCTTCCTGCCTTTAAGCCTCTCCCTTGCACAATTCCTAGTGATGGATTATGTCTCTACATATCTGGTCCACCTAAAGTAGTATAATGATACCTTCACAGGAGGAATTTTCTTTATAGTATATTGCTAATCAGTTGCACTTAACAAAGATGCTCCTTCTTGCAAACACTCACACACCTGAGTGATTTCTTTGTCATATATCTCAATAGTAAAATGACTAATATAGACAAGTGTTCAGAGATTTAGGA